CTTCTTGCAGACGTAAATAAGATTTAATCAGAAAATAACGCACAATCTGAATCAGATTTCAAAATTACCTTCATGAAAGCTTACGATGAAAACAAACTGAAGAAACAACTTAAACACAAAACAATACAATAGACAGTAGTATATTTTATTCCAAAGACACCACTCTGACACAAATAGGCAAAGCACTTTCTTAAAACATAATCTGAAACTATTTTGGCATATCGCAATACATCATGAATTTAAAATACATAAAGCGCAAGAGAATATGAGAAAACTATTGAGTAACAAATGGTTTATAATTTTAATCATAATATTTATAATCTCAAACAATAAATTATTATTTTAAATATCGATGGCATCATCGAATGAAAACCTCTTTCCATGTGAGACGAATTTCATTAAGAAACTTTAATTTTTTTAAAAATTTTAAGAATGCAATTTCCAAAGAATTTGACAGCGCAGCCTGTATAAGTTTCATTGATTTGTTTAAAAGTTAGCGAAGGGTTCTACCAGATTTTCTTTAAAAGTTATCAGAAATAAATGCTGATATTACTCAATGAACGAAAAAAATCATACAATTTTTTTGAACGAAGAATTTGTGAGATTTTCTGCACGACCAATTCTTAGCTTTAATATTTTAATACTATTAATCTCCACAAGTGTGGCATCATTTACGTGACTGAAATAGGTACGAAAAATTGGTTCACATTCTGAAAAAAAATTTATCTTAATATTCTAACAAGGTATTTTTTTTTTATTTTCTTAACAACATGTCATACAGGCTAAGAGTATGTAAAAAGCTAAAAGCTAAAAGTAGTAAAAAGTAATATATAATTATGAAAACAAAATATTCTAACAACGATTACAATGATAGGCCATATAAATAATCAAGTCGATAGCTCCATTCAGAGCCATAATAATTCTAATTAAGTGAATGGAAAATGTTACCGGTGGTCGTGTAAAATTTCTCCAAAGGCTTTTTCAGGATTCGTGTTTTTCCGTCCTATGAAATGCTAATTCTTAACAAAGTTTCGGTTTCTTACGTTGTATCATCTGATCGGAAATCACATTCTTCTTGTTAACATGAGATAGCGCAAACCGTACGGTAAACTAATTTGCAAACTGTATTCGCTTGAGTTGGGTAAACTTTATTACAATGCAAAATAATCTGTGGATCTGTGAACACACAACCTAAAGAGTACCTAAAAACTCTAAATTATAAAACACAACCTAAAAACTCTAAATTATCTTAACTTTTTTAAACATTACTTAAGTTAACAACTATTTAACTGTAATCACAAAAGAAATGTGGTGAAAATCCAAAGAAAATGATTACTTCATTCTTGAGGTTTATTACCGAAAATACAACACAAATCAAAAACGCTGACTTGTTGTATTAAAAGTAGTATGACAAGGATGAGGCTGTTTTCTCTTGTAGTTAAATTTCAATTTAAAAAAGCGTAGTGGCGAACACTCCACTAGCCAAGCTATACTGTTACCTTAAATTTATGTAACTTTTTGATTTGAGCAAACATTCTGGCGTAAGTAAAGAAAGATGGCAGACATGAAAATGTAAGAGTTAGTAAAACTTATGAATAGTTGTCGCAAACTTCCTAAATGCGAAATTCTTTTATGATCGTCTGAAACTCGGAATTAAATTTAATTTTTTATTCCAAAGTTGCAGCTGTAAATAAACGAATGTTTTTTGTTATTTAAAATGCTCAAGGACTTAAATTAGTCAATATAAGCTTGGAGCAAATATTTATCTCCACGACAAGAGTTACATTTTTAATTTGCTAAAAGAAGGCTTAGCTTTTATTTGTCGACAACCGAACATCGCCTTCTATCAGACTTCACTCGCAGGCAATCGAAGTAATCGTTCTAATTAGACTCCAGTTATTCAAAAGGTAATGTGTCGCAGAATAAACTTTATAAAACTTCCTGGTGTTAAATATGTTTTTAGTACTTATATAAAGTAAGCAAAAGATAATGTTAACCATATAACATCACCAATGTAGCAATTTGAATTATTTTAAACTTTTATTTTACATCAAAACACTAGAATGTTTTAGTCATCGTTATGTACTAAAACATCAATTTGTTCATTAGTTCAAATAGTACTAGGCTACTGGAATTTGCATTCTGTTTAACATCATAATTTAAGTTTTTAAGCAACCAGTTATGGCGCATGTTAGATGTGAAATTTCATTATGATTTCGCACCAATATTCTTGACGAAACAAGACTGAATTCCACCTTAAATGAATTTGCCTTGAAATTGAAAATGAAATGTTTCTGTGCTTTTAACTATAGCATTTTTGAAGATCCTTTGATTTATATTATGTTCTTTATCCTTACATTATTTTAGTAAATAAGGATATTACATTTTGTTATCATATTTCATTCTAGACGTTTTCAAAATAAAATGTGCTATTGGTCATGCTGCTAATTTAGTGCATACATTCCCTTGCATTTCATTAAAATAACTCTCACTCTGATATCTGTAAAACTTAAGCATAAGATATTAAAACAAAATTTTAAACCGCGATATGTATATTTATAAGGTATTGTCCTTTTTATTCTAATGTCATTAGAGGCCAATTTTAAAAAACAGAAAACATTTGCTTGTCTAAATATTAAGTTGAACAAATTATTTCCTTTTCCTAAATTTCATATATAACTGCATGTTAACGGAATGCTGTTATTGTAAATTGATCATTAAGCTAAGCAAAATGTTTCTCTCTGACTCTGTTCAATAGGTTAATTAATGTATCTAAAAATAGTTTATTAGTATTTACGTATTATCAACTGAGGTAAAAAAAAAAAATCTTTTTTGGAAAATTTGCTCATTTCTAGTCTAAAACTCAGCTTGATTTAATGTATCTTTCTGTATTATAAAGTAATCTTATGTTATGAAACTTCCTTAGTAACTTCCTTCATATAAAAATACATATCAGAGATTTTTATATGTAATTTAGGATTAAATTACACTTTATTATTAAATTAATTTGTATAGAAAGAATTTTGGGAAAGTTTAAGATTTTAATGGCTTTTAGCCCAATTTTACATATTTTTAATTACCATTAAAAACGAGCATCAGTAACACTTCTGAATATTTGCAAACGGTAATACAATTCTTATTCAAAGATTTGAAAGTAGACTAGATTATTTATTAGCATTACCATCGTTACTAAGAAATTTTATTTTCACATTTGTGTTTTTTACTTTTATTGCAGCTTGTATAATGGTGACCGATATCTCAAGGAACTTTCGGCATTAAATCAGTACATAAAAAATTAAATTTAAGAAAAAAAGTCTTGTAACAAATAGCAGATGAATTTTTTTCACAGTCAGAATCAATTTTCCGTACATAGTAAGACACGCAAATTATATCAGACTTTTAGAGGTAATATAAAAACATTAAATCTGAGACTTGGTAGAGCAGCCAATCTCACAAATCCTTCCTTTCGGTTTAAAAAAAATGCATAATATTCTCGACCGTTTAAGAAAATCTGTGGTAACACTTCACAAAAATTTAAACAAACGAATACACCTTATACAGGATGGACAGTGAAATCGTTCGGAAAATTCGTTCTTCAAATTTCAAAGACTTTAAGATTTCTTCATGAAATATAGCTGACATGGAAAGATGTTTCAAATCTAATGAAACATCATGCATTTTCAAAATAATGTTTACCGTTTTAAATTAAGTTTATTATGAAAAAAATAAGAAAAAATTTATTAATCAGTAGTTTTTCCGTATACGTTTTCTCTATATGTAATTTTTATTTTCACGTAAATGCGGCAAACTTTACAAACATTTCACTATTAAACTAAACTGCTTTGTCTATTTAAGACAAAGTGGTGGTTATGTCATAAATTGTAGTTCTTTTCCTTTTGTTGTTCATTGCAAAAGCTTTTAAGAACGCTTTTCGTACGTTTGATTTACTGCGTGTGCGAGGCTGAGATAGAATTTTAAAGGAATTCTAAAATCTTTATCTGTGGATCCATTTTCAAGAATATAACATAGATGCACATTCTTATAGAAAAAGCAATTAACAGTTTGAAGATTTAAAAAATTTTGAAAACATTAAGTCTTAAAAGTTCAATAATGTTTCATTCAGACGCATATTTCTATAGCCTCACCTGAAAAGTTTAACAATTGGAGTATTTAAAATACTGTAAAGGCTTTTTGCTAAACTTTCAAATGTTAAAACGTATTATAAAGGAGTTACGTATTAATTTATTTTCGTCTGCAAATTTTCTTCTTTTTTTGTCTCCACGAAAATCCATCCTACATCCTTTGTTGATTCGAACTGGATCAAATATCTAGTGATCAACAATTTCCTCTCTCGGCTGCCGGTGAGTCCCCCACTGTAATCAAAAAAGAACTTTTAATTTTCCGAGTACTCCAGTCACGAAGCTGCATATTTATCCAGCAAATAATAAAAAACATCTGATGTATACACCACATGATTTCATTGTGTCTGGGTCATAATCCCGACAGCCGAAATCCCGACAAGCCAAAGTCCCGACACGGTCGAAATCCCGACAGGGTCAAAATCCCGACAAGCCAGATTCCCGACAGGGTCAGAATCCCAGTGTCCAGAATCCCGACAAGTTAATATCTAAATACAAACACTCAATTTAGCATAATAAAATACAATTTTTAACTAACTATTACATATTACTAATTAAAAGTTTAAATCAAAAAATCAAAATAATTATGTCATTATTTAAAATAATTTTTAACAAATTGAAATGACCGTTAAAATTTGAAATGAAGATTTATAAAATTCTTTTTATTAAGAAAAAGAAAACATCACTTACACATGCAAACGACATATTTACAGTGACACATTGTGAGCGATACCACGAAGATATTCCATCACAGGTCGATTATCACGATCGTCCACAACAGTCATAATTCTCCTTTCTCTGTCATCATCATCTACCCTTCCTACGTTTTGGTTGTTGTTCTCCGCGAAGAATGCATTCAACTTGGTATTCTACATGCTCCTGTTCTTTTTGAAATCCTTCTATGATGTTATAAACGCCAACATGGGCCCGTCCAATTCCCATCTTCTGTGCCAAGCCTCGACAGCATTTTGAGTGCGCGGAGTTCCCAGTTGTAGGGAATCAAACACGCTCCAGAGTGCTGGTGGGAACATCGAAGGAACGCGAACGGCAATGCCATTACGCAAACGGCGCCGCATTCTTCCACGAACGTAGTTGTCTTCGAACCACTGAACGACTTCTTGAGCATCGGGTGGCAAGTGAGGAAGTAAAGTGTCAAATACTGCTGAAATTTCGTCAGCTGGTATAAACGCTAACGCAAATAAATGACGAAGCATTAAACTAAATCTTTCATCTGTGCCGTAGCGAGAAGCCAATCCACTGGATTGGATTTTTCTCCAACCACACTGACACAGATGGAAAAAACAAGCCTTATTAATAACGTCAGGGAACTCTGATTTTGAAGCATTTATAGCTGCCTTTTCTAGATCACTAATGATTCTAGATGGCCTCAGTTCAATATTATTTTCTTCAGCGAAATCAATTAAATCTTGGAATAATGTTTTGTAATTTTCTTCAGATTTGCTAGTCATCAAAGCATATACTAGTGGAAGAATTCTAAAATTTTGAGATCCAACAGGTGCGTGAATTGTATATACAGCTGGTAAAATATTGTGGGCACCGTTTTAAATGTGCCGTCCATAATCCAATAAGGTGCCTGTGATAAATGTTTAACATTTGCAACTGTTGTAAACATTAGAATTCTCTCATCTCCAACTGCAGAATCTCTCACTAAAAATAATTCACCAGTTAAAGTATTTCTTAAAGTAGCTGGAATATCAATTTCATTCAATGTTTTTGGTTCTGGTGGCCTTTCGTTTTGCCTGACCCGTTTAATTTTTTCCGAATAGCTTCTTTTGATGGAGGGTATGGGCGAATGTTCTGAGAGGTTTTT